GTAAACAACACTTAAGGAAAGCTCGACTGGTGTACGAAAAGGAATTGGCTGACGGAGCTTCGGAAAATCCGAAGAAGTTCTTCGCTTATGTTAAGAGACGCTGTGGTTCAACTTCGGTAATCCCAACTTTGATGAGGGCCGATGGAACTCGTGCGTATGCGGACTCAGATAAGGCTCGTGTATTTGGGGAACAGTATGCAGGGGCTTTTGTACGTGAGGCCGCGTTGACTAGCGTTGCATTTGTCCCCAGAGTACCTGATGGTTCTTATTTAGCTGAGTTTACTGTGGGGGAAACGCAAGTCCTTAAACTGCTGCAAGAACTGAACCCTTCCAAAGCAGCTGGACCTGATTCCATTCACCCGAAGCTTCTGCATGAGTTGGCGGGGGAACTAAGTGGACCGCTGACGATGGTGTTTCAGAAATCACTTGACACCTGTACATTACCTTCCGAATGGAAGGGCAGTAGTTGGTTGATCAGGGTGTGTTTCGGGTGTTTCGTTTTAGATCTATCAAGAACTAACACCTTATCATTTCCTGGCTCAACGATTTGCTCAAGAAGGAACACTCAAGGGATTTTCCTATCGTTCCAGTCCATCTGAGTCTGAAATGTCCAGGTTGCTACGTTTAGTGTTACGTTTGTGCTACCAGGGCATAGCCATCTCTATATAAACTCTAGAGTGACCTCTTCCATTGACATACTGTTCGTAGTGTTGTTGAAGAACTAACAGAGCAGTTCTTTGCTCCTCAATAACGAGGAACTGGAGCTTTGTTAGTCAACCGACCTATATTTGCATCTAGATTACCAAAGCTGGACGCGTGACTGCTGACATTAGTTCACCAATCGCGAGTCGAGTATATCTGTTGACACAAGGGGATTCCCCGCTATCTAAAAATCCTTGTCTACAGCACCTCGGTAAACCACGGAAACTACTTTATGTTAGGCAAACCTAACTTAGGTATAATGATTTGAGACCCCTTTACTTCATCGCTCATCGTTATTAACGGAGCATTGCTGGTGCCCATTGGCACTCATGTCCGCAGTAAAGTGCATAAATAGACGTTAGGCACTGGCGATCAGATTAGCTCCATGGAGCAAGTTAACATTTAGTAGGTTGCATTAACTTGAGCACATATGGCAGCTCGACGTCTATTGCAGTAAACCTCGTTTTGTTTGTCTGAACGGGTTTCAACTGGACAATTGTCGCCTTGTCGTCCTTGCTTAGTGTTTCTGACGGCTGAGCTGGACGCTGCTGGTCCATTTAACCTTCCTGGATGAGGTCCACAAGATCCAGTCTGCACTGTCCTAAAAGTCGCTAGTAGTACTTTTCATGTCGCCCCACCGGGTTGCGGTTAAAGCGTGCTTGACGCTGAGTTATCTTCGTAGTAATGTGGACTACGAGGTCGCTATCTCGTTGCCACCACCTTGTCTTCGCACGTTAGCCAGCTGTTTGTGGCCGTATGTGATTAATGAGGTATCTTAATCCCGAGTGTTTACATACGCTATTTAGATTTATTGTGTGATTTTAGGGCGTTTGCAAGTGTGCGTAAAATATCCATGCACTACTGCCGCCATTGCTGTTGTCAATGAGCTCGATCATTCTCATCGCCGGCTCGTAGCCTAAAGATAACAAGCTTGTCTTGTAACCTGACGGCGCGGGTTCGAGTCTGCGTAGGGGCAAGGCGACCCTCGCAATATCCTTGCTCACGTGAGACCGGTGGTGGTTGCGCGACACGGAAGCGTCGGTACTGCGTACCGGCGTGCTGCTGATGCCTTCTTCTCATTCTCATCGCTGGCGGGATTAACTGCAAATTGCCTTTCATATACACCTTACCTTTGTAGCTGCCATCATGGTGAACACCGTTCATTCCTACCGTACACTTCACAATCATGCCTGACCATTGCGATCTCATGCAAACGGCCAAGGACTTTGGTCAGGGCCATGTGTTTACATTTTGGGATCAACTCAGCTCTGCGGAACGTTCAGCCTTACTAGATGACGTGGCAGAGGTTCAATTCGATCACCTCGGTAGCTTGTTACAAGTGAGTGCTGTTTATTTACAAATGTATATGGCATCCACCATGGTTATAGTCCGCGTATCACGCTGTAATTCCGTTTGACCGAATCGCATCTGGTTTAACATCGTTACTTTTCATAGACTTTATTCTATATTCCATCATTCTACTTTCATCTGCGCTGTCCTGACTCACATTTCGACGCTGCGCTGTGAACCTTTGATCTACCGCTTGTGGCTTCATGGGTCAAGACGTGCTTTTTGCGTTTCCACTTGCAAGCTTTCTCTCGAATGCTATGCTTGGAAACTTTAAAGACCACTGAGAATAAATTTGCCTTTCTCAAATTTTCTGTGCTTAAATTACCTTGATTTTTGTAGTCCCTTCAGTTTCTTTTCGCCTATTTCCATTACGTTCTGTTACTACTACACGGGACCGGCGCTGTGGTGACAACTAGTGCAGTGCACGTGGGCGTTGATCGGTTGATCGTGGGGTGGATGCGCGCTTACCGATTTGACTCTCCCAAGTGATATCGATAACCTCAGGTATTCGAGGAGACGCGCCGCTCCTTGGCATCCCCCTTTGCCAACGCAAACGTACTTACAAATAGATCACATAGCAGTCAGCTTCAGATAGCGGGGTAGTGTACGTGATTGCAGATCAATTTGATCCAACTACCTGGAGTCAGATCGCTCTCTGGTCTTTGCGGACATCTGCGTGCTCTTTAATGGTTCCTCGGAACTTAAGCACCGTAGGCTGGATACCAACAGACTAGCTAACCCCTCCATTCAACTGGCCATCGCGATGAGACCGGACCTTAACCTGGTGCGATGGTTTGTGTGCCTCAATGATCCATTGAGCTATGCTGCGTGGTGCTTTGCACTTTCAAAGCCACTCATACTAGGTTGGTCAATGGTTAGAGGCCAGACAAACTCAGTCTCCTCCAGGTTGGGGGTTGGAGTGAGAGTGGCTCCTTACTCCATAAAACGGGCTCTGTAGTCCAATGCCAAAACCCCGCTGCCTTGCGGTAAGGTTTTTAAACCAAAGGCTTTGGTTGAGAACCCTAATCGTTCTCCCGTCTAGGCCTGGGCAACCTGCCAGTATCCTGCCCACGCAATACAAACCATGACTTTTCCTCCTAACAATCTCTTGATGACTAAGGAGTAGACAGATTTGGGTATGATTCGATTTGGTTCATCGCAATTAGATTCCAAGCCGCATAGGTAAGCTGTCAATCCGGAAAAGCACCAGACGTGCGTTTCGCCCTATTGGGGTGCGCATCCCTCGGCTCCCAGTATGTATGTATGTATGTAATCTCAACAGTCTATCAACTAGACACAGAGCCAACATAAAACCATGGAGATCAGCGGATACGCAAGATCCATCGCGTCATAATCATCGTGGCATGCTAGTTGAAGATGAGCAACACATTTCAACTAATATGCCGCAGGAAGAATGGAACATTTTGACAAAAAGTAGAACAAAGCATTTTTAGTTTTTCACACGCCGCTTTTGCTCTTTTCTATCATTTTAATGTTTGTAGTATTAAACATGCGAATCAATACAATACCGTACACAATTCTTCCACTGATTCCGTTTGCGGGCCATATCTTCAAGAGTGCTAAGCCATTGGCACTCCTCATCTTTGGGTCCCCATCCTGGAAAACGTACGGATCCAACAGCGGATAGACACGACGTCAGCGATTTCATGTGCTGCCGCCAAGTGGAAGGCTGACCACCACGCGGTCGCCTCCAGCCAGGTGCTTGACGAGCGAATAGAGCACGATGCGGTAGACGCTCAGGTGCCATGCGTAAGACGTGACCGAGACATCTCAGCTGGCGCAACAAAACCAGTTTGTTGAAGGGAATACTCGCATTCCTCAAGATGCGACGTCGAACGTCATTACTATTAACTCGATGTTGCCACCAAACACGAGCGATCCTCCTTAAGCAACCGTTATCCAAGGCAGAAAGACGACGCATATCTTCCACGCGAATCGGCCAGGACTCACACCCATACAACAATACTGAGCGAACTGATGCGCTGTAAACGCGGCCTTTTAGTGAGCATGAGACGTCGCGACAACGCCACAAGTGCTTCAGATTGACAAGTGCTGATCGAGCTTTAGCGGTACGAAGAGAAACTTCTTTGTTGACAATGCCGTCAGCAGAAACACAGCTGCTAACGTAGACGAAACTATCTACCTGTTTAAGTTGTGCACCTTCGAGAGTGAGCACGGGAGCAGGTGAAATCCAATCCTTGAGCAGTACTTTACGCTTCGGTGGGGCGAAGCTCATGCCATACTTAGATGCTTCAACCACCAGACGATCCAGAATGAGTTGCATACTCTGAGGATCATCATCAAGTAAGGCGATATCATCAGCATAATCTAAGTCGGTCGCGCGCTCACCCGGTAGAAGCTTTAAGCCAAAATGTTGGAAACCTTCTAGAGCATTCGACAGAACGTCTTCGGTTGCGAAGTTGAAGAGGAATGGGGACATCGGGCAGCCCTGTCGCACACCGCTATTGACAGCAAATTGTGAGGAAAGCTTGCCATAGACCCTCACTCTGCCGGATGTGTGAAGGTAAAGTGCTCGTAAGATGGCGGTATATTTCTCTAGCACCCCGTTTTTTAGTAAGCAACGCCATAAAGTAGGTCGATCAACAGAGTCAAAAGCGGCACATATGTATAGCAATGCAATGATAGTGGGCCTGTGATAAATGTGGCGATGTTCAAGGAGTTGGCGGAGCGTGAAGATTTGATCCACGCATCCGCGGCCAGGACGGAAACCAGCTTGTTCTTAACGGTAGTATGATTCACGTACTGGGGATAGTCTACGAAGAAGGATGGATGCCAATAGCTTAGAGGCAACCGAAATAAGACTAATCCCGCGATGATTTGCACATGAAGTGCGAGCGCCTTTCTTGAAAATCGGGACAATAACTGATTCGCTCCAAGAGGAAGGCACTTTCTTTTCATGCTAAATTTTTGCGAAGAGCGCGGTCAGCTGGTTAATGACCGCCACACCGTCGTACTTGAATAGTTCTGGAGGAATTCCGTCTACGCCGGCGGCCTTGAAGCGCCTGAAGCGTCGAATCTCGAGGCAGACTTCCGCTTCGCTGGGTGGATTCAGAGGGACGAGCCAGGGTGGACAACAACGTGTATTGCATGTACTGATGGATGGTGGAGGCCAGTTGAACTGCGAGTGAAAGTGCTCGACCCAGCGGTCCATACATCTCTGTTGGTTGGTGATCGGAGACCCATCCGCCTCGCAAATAACCTCACTGACACTAGGTTTCCTGAGGCCAGTAGAGCGAATGAGTTGGAAAAGCTTGCGAGTGTTGCTAGAGGGGGCGGCGGTCTCCATCTCTAAAGCACGCTCAGACCACCGTGTCTCACGATCCTTGCGTTGGCTTTGCTTGAGCAACTGGTTGGCAGAACCGCGCTGCTCGTTGCAATCTGATTCCGCGGGGATATCTTTGCGGCGTTCGAACAGCTCCAGAGAACGAGCAGAGATCCAAGTCTTCAAGGGGCGTCGAGTTAGGCCGCAGCTTGACTGTCCGGAAATGGTCATTGCCTTCCGTGTACAAGTCCAGTGTTGTTCCACTTCTTGCGGTGGATTGCAAATGAGTGTATATGCCAGTGAAGACTGATAGCTCGCCTGGACAGAGGAATCAGTTAATCTGTTTACATCAATCTTGCGGTGCTTCGTGTTTCGGGATCCTCCAAAATACATACAGATTTTCGCGCAGACCAGAGCATGATGTGAGTCAACGAACGTAGACCTAGAGGACCTGCAGTCCAGTACGCTGCAACGCCATCCGAAGCTGATCGTAATGTGATCAATTTGAGACCACGGCTGTGTTGGCAAAGGGGGGACACCACGTTGCGGAACGTTTCTTCGTACGTCTGATGTTAGTGTTGGAGAGAAACAGATAGTTGTCTTCGCACAATGTGAGAAGTCTTTCTCCGTTATCAGAGCGTTTCTCATCGAGCGCGTGATGACTACCTAGGTGCCGTTCTTATGGTAACAGGCGGCCAACCCGTGCATTAAAATCCCCAGCAAGTACTGCGATATCCGAATTTTTAGCAGTAGAATTCGTCCTTGACAGAACCGCCACTGCAGTCAGTTTTAGCGTACACGGAGATCACAAACAAGTTGCGTCTCTCTTCGCGGTACTTGTTGATTCTACATGAACCCCGAAACCGAATTGCACACAGCTGGCTGTTAATCGGAAACCAGTCCAGTAGTGACGCCTCGGTCATGCAATTTAGTGCTATACCTACACCAGCCAGATCCGCTGAGATTGCTTTTGCATCTCCAGAAAGACGCAGGTGATATCTGGCTTCGTGGTCAGTGGGGGATGTCAATGTAAGCACAATGCTGGGATCTTGCAATTGGGTTTCTGAAAGGCAGCAGACATCAATGTCTAGGGAATTTAGGGGGCTCGCTAGACCGACTTACTGTCCAATCTGCATGAGTGTCCGAATGTTGAAGCACGCCAGACGGAACGAGGATCGAGGACGAAGGAGAGCCATAGGTTGAACTTCTTGGTCTGCGGCGTAACCGGCATCGCAGCCAGATTGTTGAACACATGAATCGGGTAACGGAAAATGAGGATTGTTAACAAACAAACAATTGGCGTGTGAATGTGAGAAGCAGAAACCGTTGCTGATGAGCAAGTTGTAGTACTGTCCATGGTTTTGTGAGAGGGCGTGATGCTACCGGTTGTTCAAGCCGAAGTAGGGTGTGCGTAGGCGAGTGGTAGGCAGTAATGACCAAGCTTGTTCCTGAGAACAACAGATTGCACAGAATAACTTGCGTTGGCTTTGGCATGTTTTACCGCTTACCGGGGAGGGTTTTGTTTTGTCTGCTGGATATATGGTTGCGCAATGCACGAGGTTTGCATGCGTTAACTTGGTAGCGAGAAATGAAGTCATTTACGGCCAAACTCGGTGTCGTCAGTCCGTCTTGCTTTCCAGGCTGTTGTCCGCGTGACCCACTTTGCGTTTGGCTCGAGACTGCTC